ATTAAACAGGATATCCCTAGACTGGAATCACAGTGAGAAAATATGAGTGATGGTGGTAGTAGGCAGAATTTGTTTAGATGGAGGTGGGAGCACAAGATTTATTTCTCATGGTTCAGAATAGAAGAGGTGTCATATTGAGAGATCAGTTAGGGTATGAAGAAATGGAGGTTACATCTAGGTAGCTACACAGTTCATTGTTGCACATCGTGGCAAGTTCCGCAAGGCGCCACGTGTCCGCTCTACGTCACCTGGATTCTGACTTAACTTTTGTGAATGATTTTTGGCAGGATTTGCGCTTGTCCATGCCATACAAGTCTCCCTTTGGCCTATGTTCCGGTAGAATCATTGCACTTGGTATCACCGTTTATAAATTGGCTGTCAACGTGTAGTTTAGAATCATCAAATAAGGGGAACTCGTTAGGTTAGCGCTGAAGCAGGCCAAGGGGTTGATAAGTTCGTGCAGAAGAGGGAAGTCGGTTCCTTTGCATACTTTGTTGCGTAGTGAGAAATCTGCGTGAGAGTTTTGAGCGATCATTATTCACAGGAATGGTATGTTTGATATTACGGAGACTACGTCGGTGGTGATATAAAAGTGGTGGGACAGTTAGTTTTGGATTGGCCAAAGACGAAAAAGAAAGGTCAAGTTGAGTTTCGGACGTCGCAGCCAGAGTGAGTCTTAAGGAAGCCTTTCGTTATGTAGGAGAATAGGCTGAGCAAAGTTTTGCTGGATTTTATCAACCCGCATCCTATCGGATGCAACCACATGAACATAGATAACTGCGCAATACTGTAGTAGCGGCTAGACCACAACTTTGTATGGTATAAGTTTTGCCCTAGGCGTGAATATGTTTTTGCGTAGAAGACGTATGAGCATTTCGCCTTTGGAAACACTGCGCCTGAATGCTCGGGGGGATTTGTTACTGCAGTAGATGGTGCCGCGATCTCTCACAGTGTTGAATACCTCCAGTGGGGTGTCACCTATGTCCAGTGTCACATCCTAATGATGGAGGTGGGTTTTTCTGACCTACTAGTGAGTGAATTTACTAGATACGCTCCCTCTGACTAACCTTGGAATACTGGCACACTGGTTGGCGCTCAACAAGTCATATTCCTCCATCTGAAAGGCGCTAAAGACCCCATCGATCGAAGGTCTAATGGAGACGGCTTACCGTGGGAGAAACCATGTAAGCACATCAATGTTGAAATCCCCGTCGTGGAACACCCATGGGAGGGTCAAAGCCCATTTTCAGTTATATCTGTGAGAGATGTTCACCTTCTTTATTCTTATTTTGTTTTGTCATGAATGTACTCGTCACAGAAGACTCTTTTATAGATCTAGTGTATGTACATAACAGTCGTTTTAGTTACAGAAGCTGATAAGACTCAGAAAAGTCCACGAATCTGAACTCAGTATTTGAGAATGAGGTGTGCCTTTCATCATCGAATGCAAGTTGTTGTTCGAGGACAGGTCTTCTGTATGACCGTGAAACACGGCCATTAAAGATAAGAACATGAGAAAGGCTTGGGGCGTTCGACCACGATTGCACTCGTCGCACAGACAGTGTGTCGTGATGTCCCCACGTCAATAACGTACAGATCAGGCGTAGAGCTTTATGAAGAATAGAAAAGTCAGTCGATAACGTTGTGGAACTTCGTTGACTCAGGTGAGCGGGACATGCGTTACGTGTGTCTAACCACCGTCTGTTTTGTCGAACAAAGTTGGTTGAAGTGTGTTTATGGTGGAAAGTGGTTAAAGGCGACCAGACTAAGGGATGGCATCAGTGCATGAGGTGTGTGACTGTTGGTTTGAGCTATGTACGCGAATCCGGACTTCCCGGTTGGGTCTGTGCGATAACTGTGATCAGTGGTTGGTGAGGTTGGGTGGTGTGACTGAGAATCGATGTCATTAGCCCAGATGTATTCACGCCATGTCTTCATCTCGATCGTCATACTGGATTTTATCCTCATCTCTTACCATCGTCTCACAATTTTCTGCCACTTTTGATAACTCTCTTCACCATTTCTCTATTTTTCATCATAATGCGTTGTCACTTGATGTGCCACTATGAGATTTAGCAACTTGGATTGTGACCCGGTGATACCGGATTCCATGTTTATATTAACTAACCAATACTTATGGACTGATGCTAGATTTTAGCTATTCCACGTCAGTTAACCACTCCTAATTGACGTTCACGCGATGTAGTCTGTAAGTGCCTTGCGTTCAGGCTACCGAAAATTCTTCCGTTGGCTTACAACTGACTTCAGCTGGTTTCAGGATGCTGTCTAAAACGAGAATCCGTTTGATGAATTTTCCCGAGAATGTTGATCTGGTTTGGTGATTTTGACGGAAGTTGGTAGACAGTCCCTTCCGGAGTAGAAGCCACAAGATTTTGAAGACTTTTATTGCCCTTCATTGTAGCAGCGAAAGGTTCTCCAGGACTAACAGACCGATGTTTCAACCATATCCTACCTTGATGTTGACGTCATGGTTTTGTTGGAATTGTTAGACTGAAGTTACAAGGTAGGGCATACACAACTCTTGGTACTTTGTCATGTCACGTTGTCTCTCATCCACAACCTCAGCTTGTTTTTGCATCTTGATGTATTGGCATTATTCATCAAGCATTTGACTGGAATATGACTACCCTACTGTACGCTTTCCTGGTCAAGCACCGGTGCACATAAAACAAGTAAGAGTCACTAGCTGTTGGCCTGTACATCTGTTAAGATCGTGTGTAAGCAATTCCTAAACTAGTACTCGCACGACTGCCCTGTTTTTTTACACTGGACGCCAAATATTTACACCTTCAAGATCTTCCCGTTTGTCTCTTAAGCCCAGCTGAAGCTCATCCACGGTCTTCTCCCAGAATCAACTTCAATATAAGCATGGCTACTGTGGCTAAATATCTCACGACCACTGCAACAATATCGTCACTAGATTTTAGGTTTGCATTGATTTCATAGACTTTATTATGGTGCAGTGGCATCAAGGAGGAATTGCTAGGAAGCATCAGCTATTCCTTGGACTTCAGGATTCAGCCAAAAATATATGAGAAATGCCAATGGCAATGTCGTCACAAGGTACTGATAATACAACAAAGCTCGAAGTAAGGCATCGTAAAACCAGAAGACGATAAGAAGCCGATTGATTAATTGTTGCAGCTAAACTGAAGTGTGGTATGACCTACAAAACAAAAGCCAGTTCATCAACAATGTGGAGTTACATAGTCTTCTATTAAGAACACTATGCAGAATCAAGTATTTCAATGATTGCGTCAACCAGTGCAAGTAAAAAACTGCGAGGATGATAACCAGCAATTGACTTTGATATTCTCCTGATTAAATATGACTTAGTACTGCTTGAACCAATTTAATTCACTCACACTCTCACTTTTAAACCGCGTTTTTAAGGTTTGTACGCTACGCGTACTTGACCTTATAACGTGTTGCACCTGATTTGTTTGCATATTGTCGTTTGGAAAAATCATGGCTATATGTGAAGAGAACTTTCAGAATAACGGCGAATCATCCTCTCAGCTCGATGATCATGATTTTCCTGCTCTTCCAAAGACAGGATCTGCTCGTCCAGTTAAGATTCCTGGTGCAATATTACCTTCGTTTCATACAAAAACTACGGAAGTATGGTATCATTTTTTCCGTCATATTTTTAGATTTTGGAAATACCGTTTGAGGAAAGGCGGTTTGTGAACCAGGAGAGCGACAACTCTGTAGCTGGTAGGAGGTACAATGTTCAAAGCAAAATATGCATGGAAATTGCGAGAGACACAAATGTTGAGATGAATCTTAACAGCTCCAAAAACCAAATTCTAACGATTATCATCTCGGGGGAACCTAGCAGGGTTGCCGAAGCCAAGAAGAGAGTTACAGCAGAATTACAGCAACAGGTGAGAGATGACAATAAGTATATATACTAAGGCTGCTATATCGTGACAGCGTATTTTTCAGCTAATTAGTGGCTTGATATGAGTACGGGTTTCCTCAGCACTTACTCATCGTTTTCAAGCATTCGTAAGATATAGGGTCTGGGGTTTAGGACGATAATCCTGCATGAGTAACGTGCTATGTTAGGGGAATAGAGTTCAGAGTGGTCAGATCAAGACGTGGCACCAGTCGGTTAACTCTGACTGTTCTGAGCCGTATAGGGAAATGTGAACTACCTGACTGGGGTCCTCGAGACGACGGGAATCAGTGGATGAGGACTCTTGATGGCATGGCTGAAAATCGGTCACAATGGTGCAGTTGTGTTCACTCCTTGGCATCTAAAGCCTGAATGTTGGTACTAACTTATCTTCAAGCTATTTGTTTTCTAACCCAACTTTATCTACCTTAATATCACTCTTTTTCTACCCAACCTTTGCTTGTATACTAACGTGAGGCGTAGCAACTTGAACCTATGTTCAAGACCCAGCGTTTATCTTGTAAATCTGTTCCATGAAAGGCATTCTTCAGTTCTTGTAGTGTTTTGCATTGTTTTTAGTTTAATTTTGGACTAAAATAACGATCCGGTGAAATGCTGCTTGTCTTTTTAGGCATAATCTCGTGTGGTTAGTCATCGTCAGCATCACCAATATCAACATAGGACCAGGCATTGCTGCGTAACAGTCTGAGTTGCAACAGCTGATATCAGTGCACCAAGTAGAAATGTAGTGAGGTGAAAGATGAAGATAAGAAAATTCAGTCAAAAGAAATACAAAGTACGAGAAGAAAGAAAAAAGGAGTGACAAAATGGTGAGATTCGGCATAGTGTCGTTAAGATGAGGAAAATGTATGTATACATCTGCACCACTGACATCGGTTCTCAGCCACATCACCTAGAGTCTCCAACCACTGGTTCCTCTTGTCACGCGAGCCCCAACCGACAAGTCTGTATTACACCACATGGCTCAAACCAACAGTCAGAGACTTCATGCGTTAGTGTCATGTTTTAGTCTGACCACCTCGGCCTTTTTCCAGCCCGGACCTACTTCAGCCAACATTGTGGGTTGAGGCAATCAATGACTAAGCATATGTAATGCGTGTCCCAACCATCTTAGTCGGTGAAGGTTCATAACCTCTTCAACTGATTTACCTCTACTCCCTAAAACTCTATGCCTGACTTCTGCATTGGTCACCTGATGACACCACGGAATACGGTCTGTACTTCGAAGACAACAGTGGTCAAACACTTGAAGCCTTCTCATGTCTTCCACCTTCAATGGCCATCTTTCACAGCCAAACAATAGGACAGGGCAGACTGCTGTGCAGTACACGCGACCCTTAATAGACGATGAGATATCACGGTGGTGCCACCGGTGACGTAAGTTGGCAAAAGCCAGTCGAGCCTTTTGTATCCCTGCAGAAATTTCATCAGCCACTGAGCCAGCCACAAGGGCTGACCCTACTTCCCAGGCAAGTGAAGTGGTCGACACAATCACTACACTCTCTATTGTAAGCCGTGGCACTTCTGAAGTCCAGTCCTGTAGCAACAATTTGCATTTAGGTGGTGTGAAGCGCATCCCAAACATTCTCAAATTGTCACTCAAAGTGTTCAGAAGGCTCTGCATCTTGCTAACGTCTTCACCTAACAGGACTATGTCATCTACATATTCTAGGTCTGACGAAAATTCTCCTTGATCAGGTCAACGTCTGTGTATTCAGGTGATGAGAGGGAGACCTCCATGAGAATATCTGTGATAAAATTGAATAAGATTGCGACTCTTGATAGACACCACTCGATGAGCATAGCTCCCTGGAAATCTCACCACAGGCTCTAACACGCCACAGGTGTTCGAGTAAAGAGCCTTCAATAAGGTTATGTACTTACTAGGCACGCCTTTCAGTGAGAGACATTGCCATAAGACTTCTGAGTCAACGGAGTCGAATACCGTCTTCAGGTTGAGAAATACAGCTATCGTCGGGCATTGGTAAGCGTGCCTGTATTCGAAAACTTGGCGCAGTGTGCATACTTGGTCGATACACTCGAGGCCGGCTCTAAAGGTTCCCTGCCTGGTTTTCTCTGGCTCGCTGTTCCCTGGCTGCACTCAAGCGTCAAAGAATTGTAGAACCAAGAGTTTTAGACACTGTTCTTCAGGCTGATCCCTCTGTGGTTATCACAAGAGAACTTCTCACCTTTCTTGGAGACTGGAATAATCAGTGATTTAGACCAGTCAGAGAGGATCGTATTTGATTCCCATATACTGGTTAATACTTCCGTTGACTTGACTAAGCGCACCTTAGCACCATCCTTGTACACCTCAGGAGTTAGTCCGTCTGGTCCTGCTGGCCTTCCCGTTTCAGGTTACCTACTGCTTTCTCGACTTCTAGTGTTGGGGGGCGTATCTCAATATTCCATTCAGGATCCGACTGGATAGCGGGCAACGCAATGGTGGCTGAAGGCCAGTTAAACTGTTCCTCGAAGTATTCTGCCCATCGTTCCAGTCATCTCCCCTGCGAGTGAATCGCAGATCCGTCCTTCTCCGCTATAACCTCACTACCTGCTGTTGACCTTTTCCCCCCAGTCTCCTTAGTAAATCTAAATAACTTTACTGTTATCGATTGCCGCTACCTTTTCCATCTCTTTAACCTTCGCTGCCCATCACTGTTCGCGATCATTGCGTAGACTTTTTCTCAATCTACGTCTTAGTTGCGCTCACTCTTCATTGTACTCAGAGCCTGCAGGCAGGGATGCGTTCACGTGCATCCATTAGTTCGGAAGAAGCTGGTGATACCCACTGGGTCTTTTGTCACTATTTTGGAGTCGGCTACGGTCTTCAGTGCTGCTTTTACAGCAGACTGGAGATGGTACGAAGCTTTTTCTGGATGAGTGATAGTGTTCCGCTCCGACCACGGCCTAGCCAACTTCTCTCTGAACACAGCTTTGATGTTTTCGTTGTCCAGCAGTACTCGTAGTGGTTTTGTTGCCAAATGTTTCCTATGTCCATTGAGACGCAGGCATATACGCGCTCGGACAAACGCGTGATCGCTGTCCAAATATGTACTCCAGAAACAGCAACAGTCTTCCACCGATCCTCTCCAGCGATGACTAATAGCAATGTGGTCTATCTGTGTCCATCTCTGGGTTGAGGTCGGTAGACGCCACGTTAGACAGTGTCTTTCTTTATGTCTGGAATTTGTGCTGGCTAAAAATAGGCGGTTATCTGTGCATAGTTGTAGTAAGCGATCATCGTTATCTGTACGTTCAACCGGGATTCCGAAAGTGTCACCTAAGTGACTTTCTGCCTCACTCAGTCTACCCACCTACCTATGCGTTAAAATCACCCGTAACAGCCATCACGTCTGAATGTTTGGCTTTCAAGAGGAGACTAGACAGTTTACAGTAGAACTTGTCCTTACTTCATCCAAACTGCAGTCAGTGGGTGCATAATCAGAGCTTACAAAGAGTCAACGGCGAGTCTCACTATTCCTTTTAGTTCTCACTGTGCCATTCAGTCGGATAGTGCTGAGGCGACTATCAACTGGGATCCAGTTTAGTAGTGAGCTTTCTGTCCTAGTGATTAATGCTATGCCTACACCTGCAAGACAACGAGAGCTAGCTGTCGAATCTCCAGAAACTTGAAGGGTGAATTTTCCTGATTCACCAGATTGGCCGAGAGATGTTAGATGAATAACCGCACTTGGGTCCTGTATGCATGTCTCACAAACACAGCACACATCCATGGTCCGAGCTGCTAGGGTCTTGGCCAATGAAGCCTGTTGGCTAACTTGACAGAGGGTGCAGACGTTGAAGGCTGCAATATGTAATTTTGAGCGTGGTTTAAAGAGACCAAGGATGCTGTTTTGTGGACTCGGATCGTTGTCAAAGGCCGCAGAACTAGGAGGAATTGAAGATGTTGTCGTATTGTTAATTGGGAGACGTGAAGGAAGATTAGGAAGTAATGATGGGGGAGGTGGATAGCAGTCTAAGGAAACTTGAGTGCTGATCGAGTTGTTAGGACGGTTGATACTTCCCGGCTGCCCACACCGTAGAAGGCTATTTCCGCCCAAAGTAGCTGAAAGAGATTTGTGTCACTGCAGAGCCCATCGGACATCTGCCTGAGGCCTGTCACACGAAGCCTTTTAAGTATGATTACTTTAAACTTTTGTATTTTGGGAGCCGGATGGTCGAAAGGAAATGACAAATGAACCAACATCGCCGGCCCGGCAGATCGAGGGGCATGTTGGAGTGTGTTATTTTTGGGGCTGACCTTTTCTAACCCCCTCTCCGTTCACTGAGAAGGCAGCATCAGCATGGCATTGCTGGTCATCCAAGGGAAACACCTTACTGCTGTCACACTCCATCCAGCTATCAGCAGTACGATTTCCCCCTGAGACTCCCGCCATAGTGTAGTAGTTTACACCACAACGGTAACTGCTTTTCGTCTAACCACCATCCTATAGACCTTTCTTGTATAGTAGGACCTCGGGGGAACAAATGTTTCACCAGCCGAGCTCGTCGGGTCACTGTGATATGGAAGCCCGACCACCACGTCAAGATAGCAGCTGTCGGTCGGGCGTGTGGTTAGTGAGTATCCACTTATTTTTATGTTGTTTTTTCGGGTTGCATGTTGCTGTATGACAAAATGTAGTTATTTCTGTTGTTTGCACTACTCTATGCATTCTGGTGTTTTGATTTTCCCTCTCTGAGACATTTTTTGGTTATTGTTTCAAAAGGAAGCTGTTCGAATTCCTGTTCCTGTTGAATATCGTGGATATTTAATTGGTCGGAAAGGTGAACGATTACAAGAATTGGAGTCTTCTACAATGACAAGGATTAGCATACCTCCCAACAATGCACTTGATCCAAATGTAGTCATAGTGACAGGTCCCAGAAGAGGAATTTTAGAAGCAGAGCATTTGATAAATGAAATTGTTCGCAAGCAATCCCAGCAAGGTTTCGAACGGTTATCAATACCCAAAATTTACCATCCCTTTATTTGCGGCCCGTAAGTAGTCAGTACTATTTGGTGTCCGGCAGATAGAACTGGTTCTGATGAAGTCATTTTTATTTTCAGGAACAACCAATTTGTAAATGATTTAAAATCTCGGACTGATACAAAAATCAACATTCCCCCTCCTAGTGTGCCAGCTGATGAAATAACAATATCGGGTAAGCGTGATGGTGTTGCACAGGCAGTAAAAGAGGTCCAAGCAATATATCACCAACAGGTAAGATACCTATATTACTATGCTTGAATTATTTCGTTTTTGCTTTGAAAATATTTGCTTCGCTCTGTGAATAGAATATATCCATTTAATTTCGTTGATTAGATGTATCGCACAGTAAAAGTTAGTTATTAAAATGAACCGACCACTTCACTTACATTGCGTCAGCTCGAAAGAGGCTGGTCGCTAACAAATTCTCCACTGGCATACATAAGGCGTGCTTAAGATTTGCCAACTTGCGTCATCTGTGGCTCCAACTGGTGAAATATCCGACTACCTATTAAGTGAGTATACTGCGTCTCAGTTCGTTCTGTACTATTATACAGCTGTGATAAATGACCATTAGCAGTAGAAGATATGAAGCGCTTATACGTTTTTGACCACAAGTATCTCCGTAGAAGTGCTTGAGTATAATGGAATCAGCATGTGAGAAATATCGAGGTCAAACGAAGGCTACTGGGCAAGGAAGGAAAGTCGATTGTTGAAGTTGTGAACGTGTATTGACTGAGGTGGCTTGGGTGCAGTTGTGGGTCATTGGGTTGGAGAGCTGACTTTCAACCAGTGGATAACAGATCCGAACAGTGCCTTACCTACTGAGATTCGAGCAGCCAGGTAGTACCAATAGCCCCCACACGATAGGTGTGGCTCATACCGTAGTACACGACTATGCTCAAGGTTACTGAGTTTCGTTTCGAGGTAGCTTGGGCATATGTTGCAAATGCCGAGCCACCACAACCTATCTCGACGTGCCGTGGTAGGAGAAGTTAGATTAGATTGAAATAGGGTTCAGAGTGGCCAGATCAAGACGTGGCACCAGTCAGTTAACTCTCTGACTGTTCTGAGCCGTATAGGGAAATGTGAACTACCTGACTGGGGTCCTCGAGACGACGGGAATCAGTGGATGAGGACTCTTGATGGCATGGCTGAAAATCGGTCACAATGGTGCAGTTGTGTTCACTCCTTGGCATCTAAAGCCTGAATGTTGGTACTAACTTATCTTCAAGCTATTTGTTTTCTAACCCAACTTTATCTACCTTAATATCACTCTTTTTCTACCCAACCTTTGCTTGTATACTAACGTGAGGTGTGGCGACTTGAACAAATGCGAGGTTCTATGTTGATTTTGTCTTTACTCGAATATATTTCAGATACAATTCGTTGTTTTCAGTTTTATGAAAGTAAATTCATCATTTTGAGACGTGGTTTATGTAGTTCTAATTCTTTCACTTTCTTTGTGACTTAGCTAGTAAGGTTTTACATATATCGGGAATAGATAGTGATTCATTCCTACCGGACTTATGTTTAACACTTAAAATGTAAGCTGATGCAGACAGTAAGTAAGCGGAAATGATCAAGGACTTCCGATAGACAACTTGAATAGGACGAAATAAGCTGCCTTCAAAACATCCGAACATATCGAAATAAAGAAGTTCAGCAAACTAGTGGAAGAGAGTATAGAGTAGAGAATAATGAGAGTACTGAAGCCACATCATCAATAACCGATATATCAAAGTTGGCTGTCAATCTCTCAACTAGAGTCTTGAGCTGAGCTCGAAAAGGGACTTAACTTCGATCCAGCGTTTTATGAACTAAAACCTGAGAATTTCATTTCCGAAATATAATTACGTTAAGTTCAGTAGATAAGACAGTTGCAAACGACATACGAGTGGGATATGCACTAACACTGAAGCGAAAAATTAAATTTACAAAAATTTGAAATGGGAGCATTTTAGAACTTTCAGAATGATAACAAAGCAAGGTCTATTGGGCTTATCTCAAAGAAGTAGAGAGGATGAAAACTATGTAAACCGAGTTACCTTGATGGGATTATGGACAAGAGGTTTTGTGGAAAACTTGATCCAGTGAGTAATGATACTGTTTCCATCTGTGACATATTGAATGAACAATCAAACTGGGATTACAATCGACCACATTATCCCAGTTTTATATATTAGGAAAATTCATCGTTATCTCATTGTAAATTGTCTTCGCAAAACTACCCAATAAATATCAATTGATATGTTTGGCAAGTAAATTCGCTGTTAAATACAGCTATGAAAAAGAAGTGTCAGTAGTTTCACACTTCATAGAGCTGTGGTGCATTGGTCAACACATTTGACTGTCAACCGTTGGTCCTTGCTTTCGAATCCGCTTCCACCTACTAAAGTTCACGCTGTCAGGTTGTATCAGTACCGCATGCAGTAGGTGTGACTCGTTTCCTTCTGCGACTACAGTGTGTAGATGGTTGTTCACTCCACCAAATTCAGGCATCAATTTAATTGTGAGCAGTGTGGTTATATTTTGGTTTTCTGTATTATGATTCTGCTGCATCAAAATTTCTTTTTTAGCTTCAAACTACGAAGACCATCACTGTGAAGGTAGCCAGGTCACAACACCGTATTATATATGGTCCACGTGGTTCTGGCGTTGCAGATATCCTAGCTCAGACTGGTGTCTCAGTGGAATTACCGATGGATGAGGGTAATGAGGAAGTTGTTTTGCGGGGAAAGCCTGAAGATCTTGGACGTGCTCTTTCCATGGTTTATGAACGAGCTCAAAGCACTATATTGGAAGAAATCGAAGCACCTAATCGGTTTCACAGACTTTTAATTGGAAGAGGGGGCGCCAGTTTAACAGAATTACTGGAGGGATATAAGCGAGTGAGTTTCTCAGTCTTCTTCATCAATAAACATAAGTTGAGCTCTGTTTTTTATAGCTGTCTGTATATCAGTTACGTTTCATCTGTTACGATACATTTTTATGCATCAGTACCTGAGTCTGCTACTACATTGTGTGTCAGTCTGAGAGTTTGTAAATGTACATCAATGTCCCGCTTGATCTTTGACGGAATATCTTAATTCGAAAGTGTTCTCCAAAATCGAATTTGAGCACCAAGTTTGGTTTAATTGTTATTATAATAAGTTGTAATATAATCGCAATTTAGGATTATATCAAGACCCATGTTAGTAATCCTTTTGAAGTTTAGTTTAATTACTGGAGTTGTGGTGCATTAGTTCAAATACTCGGCTTCCAATGGTTTCGAGTCCAGCTCTGAATAGCCAGTTGTAGTAATATTAGCCCTTACACAACAGATGTTTTACTCATCATTTCGGCAGTATCTGTATATTGTTTTCATCAAATGTGATTAAGAATTTTTAAGTTAAAGGAATCGAGATGTTTGCTCCTAATGGTCATATATCACGGGTACTCAACACACTGTAGACTCAGTCATTGCTGAGTTTAGAGATAAGTCATCGATGTTGAAGGTGATATGACATGTGCGTCGATTAGTGACATTAAGTTCTCTGTCAAAGCGGACGTATCATAGATAGTTACAATTGTTGTCAATCCTTAGGTCAGGTCATTCATCAAGTCACCGTAATATCTCAAGTTTAAATCCATAACTTATCTTAAAATGCATTTTGGGCTCATATAATGGCTCTCATTATGAGGTTTTCACCTAGTCTAATGTTTATTTGATCTACAACTCTGTTGTAGTTTTTCCGTTCTAACTCTTCGGTGCTTTTTCATGGATGTAGGTCCAAGTGAATTTTGGAGAAAACTCTGATAAGATTTTTGTTGAAGGTCCTTCCGAAGAAGTTGAGGTTATTGTCAAGCGTCTACGCAATCGTTTAGCTGAATTACAAGCTACTGTTGCCACGGTGACGATGAGGGTGGATCCTAAATACTACCGACATATCATTGGAAAAAATGGTGCTACCATTGGTCGTCTACGGGAATACAGAGTGCGAGTATGGCTTCCTAATTCAGAACGTGGTGATTCTTTCGCTTGTGATGAAATAGTGATAGAAGGTGATCCAGTAGGAGTGGAAAAGGCAAAGCTGGAGATTCAACAACTTGTAGAGAAGTTGGTAAGTAACTGGTTATTTTGCTTTTTGTATCCAGTTCTCTTCTATACAGAGGTTTACGACATTGCCCATTAAGTAAGATGGGGCTGAAACCTTGCACACCAGTAATTAGGATTTTGGTACTTAGACTGTGTTATGTAGTAATAGTTGGTTAAGTGATTGTATAGGGTGACGTCAGAATGGTGGTGAGTTAGTCTGCCGAATGTGAGTACAATATAGCATGGCATGACTGAATGGTTCACACATGAAAACGATAAAAACTCAATCAGCTGATTGGACTGGATTTATCACCATCTCCGAAACCGAAAAATCATCAAGAATGCTGATAGAACCATATCGTTTAGTGAAATTCAAACCGTTGCGTACATATAATGAATGAAACCCAAAATAATATGAACAGAAATCATGCAGGCAAAAGTCTGCAATCTATTAAGATTGAGAACAAGATGGTCATTATTTGCTTACTATTATATGTAATGATGCCTTACTGCCTACCATGTCTGACTAATAAATCATAGTTTCAAAAACCGACTCTTACTTAGCCATATACAAAGCTTTTAGCCGTTGCTTACCGGATACACCCTTCAAAGATATTTTCATCACCTTACTTAGGAGTTCAAATGTCGCTCCGCCTACAGAAGTCTGGACAGCGAGGCAGTATCATTAACCCTCACAATAGGTGTAGTTTCATTGCCTGCTGCATGAACTTGTACAGGTTTGCTAAGTGAGTTTCATTCATTATTTTGTCTACCGATCAAAGTAGGCTAAATAGATATAAGACCTGCGATCGATTGTGATTGAGGTTATAGTCCCTGTACCACTGAATCTTGAAAATTCCATTATCATTTTTGTATCGATTTATTTATTTTATGATTATCGTAGTAGAAGCTTTGTTCAGAAAAATATGGCATAGAACTAAGTACGATTACACAAACCCACGTTATATTCTAAGCAATTTTTTATGTGTACCTAAAAATCGTAATTTTCATCTAACATTCTTTACCTATAACTTCATAATAGCACCATTTTACTGTTTACATTGCTTAAAAATATTGAGATTTAAAGTCAGCAAGAAGCGAGATTCCTCTCCAACAGCCTACTTTCCCCTTAAATTATGTGAAAACACTGTTCACAATAATTCAGTTTATGAACACTTTATTGCATCAGTTTTCAGGTATACTGTTGACATAATTATGATATTCTTCCCTCTTTATTACTCTTTTTTGTAGTCATTCATCATGGCTTAGGCATATTTATCTTGCGGTTGTGTTTGTTTCCTTGGGATGCAGTTTGCACGTACACAGTGGTTCATCTTCCCTGTGGTATGTTTCAGGGTTAACTGATGCTGGTGGCTGGCTGGTGTTCCGAATAGCTGTGGTAACGTCGCTGACTACGATAGTGGGTGTTAGTGATTTGAATCTCAAGTGGGACATCAGTTCCGTTGAGGTTGCAGATACGCCTTGCTGATGAGTGCCAATAAGCACGAAACCTAGGTCGAGGGCTTCCTGCCAGTCGCCTCCAATCAACTAACATATACTATCTTCTTTGGTTGTCAGAAGAAATCGCTGTGAATTACATTGTAATTCATCGAAATGTTGTAGAGATTTTAAGCTCTAAAGTTTAGTGTGATGACATTAAAACAATTTCATCTTTCCTAACAGTGTTACATTTTTCAAAATCTTTTCACAGGAAAATGAGAAATGCAAAGATGTAATTATTGATCCGCGCATTCAAAATCTGCTGCGCTCGAACTCGAATGGAACGCCTCCGTATATTCGTACAATTTATGATGCATTCCCGCAAGTGCGTATTATTTGGCCAGAAAATGATTCCGACGATTCAATGTTTGCAGAAAATCCAACTAAAAGTATTGTTCAACTTCGAGGTGATCGTCAGCAAGTTGATGGAGCGAGTGAAAAGTTACATAAGCTTATCAAGCTAGTAATTGAGGAGAACTACAGACAAGAGGTAAATACGTTTTTCCTGAAATAAGTTGGCATATTTCGTAAATGAAGTAATATTTACCTTGTGCTCAAGTCCACTATAGTTTAATAAGAAAACTGAATGTAATATAGTGCGACCAAAGCGGTTACCAGTGTATAGACTAGGTTGAGTCAGACTTATTGTATATGCTTGTGGTCCATCTAGGCTGGAGTAGGTGGATTGAGATTCAAACCCACGACCAACCCTTAAAGATGAGGTGCTTAACCCACATTGGGAATGTGTTAGTTGTAGCATGATGGTAATTTTTGCTTGAATCAGTGAAACCAGTTCACGATGCTACCCTCGATGACTTGGACGCATTTTATTTCTTATACCATCACCATTAAGTGGTTAATGTAGAATATAAAAAAACTTGCTGTACGTCATTTTTTACATCATATCATGTGCCAGTTAACCGGAATACTGAAGTAAATTTCACCGCATTATCGCATCATTAGGTCTAGTGGCCATATTGTGAACTTAATCGAACAATAACTGAGTACTCATGAATCGCACCTTCATCAGTTATCACCCGATAACCAATTCGTATTTCTACACTAAATTTTGAGATTCTTTTGGTTTGATTATTTAATAGGCTTGTCAGTATTCTTTTTCGGATGCATATGTGTGGAGAAAGCTATAAAAAAGGCGACTATCACAGCGGACATGCTCACACCACTATTGCAGAAGGTGTGGAAGGAAGGGAAGGTACCTGGCGATTGGAAGAAGGGTTACCTTATCAAACTCCCGAAGAAGGGAGACCTCAGTGTTTGCAAGAACTGGCGCGGAATCACTCTTCTGTCCACCCCAAGCAAAATATTATGCCGCATCATCCTGGAGAAAGGCTAAAGGATGCGCTGGATTCAAAACTACGACCGGAACAGGCTGGGTTCCAGAAGTACAAATCATGGGCGGACCAAATTGCCACGCTACGCTACGCATCATCATAGAACAAAGTATAGAATGGCAGTCAACTCAACCCTACCTCAACTTCATCGACCTTGAGAAGGCCTTTGACAGCATCGACCGAGAAGTAATTTGTTAGGTAGTTGCTTCAATACTACGGTTTTAGTGCCACAAACCTTTATCAACCTCACTCAACAACTATACGAAGACGCCACATGCCAAGTAATTCACAATGGGAAGCTCAGTGATGATTTTGAAGTGAAGACGGGAGTAAAACAAGGCTGTCTGCTATCATTCATGATATTCCTGATAGTGGTCGACTGGATCATACAGCAAACAGTGGCGAGCGAGAAGAGGAGGATACACTGGACTGCGAAAAAGAACCTAGAAGACTTGGATTTCGCCGATGACTTGTGTCTGATGTCACACAAACTTGATGATCTACAGGCGAAAACTAACAAGTTGGCAGAAGAGGCAAGGCCAGAGAAGACGGGACTTCAAGTGAACGTAGAGAAGACAGAGGTGATGAAGATACCCAACCATTAACTACAGCAACAATAAACTTTAATCACCATCAACGAGAGAAACTCAAAGAAAGTAACCTCCTTCACCCATCTAGGCAGCACTGTTTCAACTACAGGCGGCGGCACAGGCACAGACGAGGATGTCGAAGCCAGTCAGAATTGGAAAAGCAAGACAGGCGTTCATTGGCCTGAAACCAGTGTGGAGATCTTCTGCACTCAGTATGCGGAACAACATCCGGATTTTCAACATCAACGTCAAGTCAGTGCTTCTGTATGGCTCAGAGACTTGGCGCGTCACGAAAGAGATTTCCAATAAACTACAAACATTCATCAACAACTGCCTACGCTGGCTCGTTACTGAAGATCAGATGGCCAGAATAATAGGAATAAGCAACAAGGAGCTCTGGGAACGAACCAACCAAGAACCTATCATGCAACAAATATGCAGGAGGAAGTGGAGATGGATTGGGCATACACTGAGAAGGCCGACTGGGGACATCACACGTCAAGCCAGTTGCTCGAGTGGAATCCCTATGGGAAGCGATGAGTTGGACGTCCGAGGGTGACATGGAGGAGGTCGTGCGAGGAGGAAATGAGAGGTTGTGGGCTGTCGTGGAGCCAGGTTCAAAGGATTTCAGAGAATAGAGTTCACTGGATACGTGCTACTGAAGCCCTGTGTTCCATTAAGAACCCAAGAGACTAATAATTTATAGTAATAATCACTTTGGATTAGGGTATGCATTCGCTCCTCATCATCAAAACAGTCTTATGGTTAGTATTTATTCGCTATTATAGAAAAAGCAGATTATTTTCTTCTTGTGTACCTTGTTTCATTATTTTAACTTTTAGATACATATCTTTAAGGAGATACGACCTGCTTTTCTTGGTCGTGAATTCCCAAAAGTGCGTAAACTGCTTGATGATACGCATACACGTCTTCAATTTCCTAATCCCAGTTCTGATTCTGACGTGTTCACTGTAATTGGACGAGAGGAGAATGTACGACAAGCAATAGAACAACTAGAAGCAATGCAAAAGAAACTAGTGCGTTACGGTCATGAAACATGGTAGCCCTACTGTAGTTTCAGTTCGATTTCTTTTACTCTTGTCTGCATTATTTGTTTCGTAAAATGCCATCTATTTTCCCCTGTCCAATCTTCGGTACACAGTTTTTTTTGTACCGAAATTAATGATTAGTGTGTGTGTGTGTGTGTGTGTGTCTCAGTTAAAAGACAGTGAGAAATCGATGTAATCATGCCACGCCTTTATTGTTTTTAGCAATGAGGGTAATATAGTCATACTATTCGACAATAGCAGGATTATGCACTAGACGGTGGGCGGCACTTGTTGTATATAGGCTACTAATGCTATTCAGCTCTGCGAAAATCGGTGTATGAAGGTTTGATTGCCGCCTAGCCGAATATCCACTAACAGAATCAATGAAGAAAAACATTCTCAGCAGAAAATTGAGCATCACAACTACTACGATAGTTAGATGTGTTGTCTATTTTTCGATTCTGTATTTCAATCACTCACGATCAACATACGATGTGGCATTACTGCTTAACAGTACAGGTTATCGCACCTCACGTTGGCAAATCAAAACACATAGCAACAATATGAAAATGAAAAGGTGGAAAGATTGCAATTGAAATTCATTGGAAACTGTAGGAGCAAATGATTAAAGGATGAAGCCAGTGACAAAATATTATTCAGCATCTAACGGAAAGATAATGTGTTGATATATTTACTATACAGTGATTAATTCTGAGTTGTGCGACTTGGAGTCTGTAATCATCGATTTCGATTGTCGCGCTCACCCTGTCTAGAAAGTCTATATTTTACACACGACTAAAACTAGCAACCATAGACTGTATGATGTGGTGACCCTTAACCATTTTTTGATCTAACCCTACCTTAGCTAACACTGCACTCGAGATAGACATTGATTTGACATGAGTTAAGTATGCTGAAGCCACCTCAACCGGTTAGAATTTAACATGAAATCAAGGTCAGTGTTAAGTATAGGTCGTTAGAAATCTCAGCATTTTTGAAATGGAATAATCCGAACTTTTCAGTCCCACTAAGGTAGAAAAATAAATTTCTGATCTTTGGTGACATCGAGAAGGCTGCTTCTTCAAATAATAAAGTCCTTACTAGTTATCTCATGTTTAGATAGTAAATGCCGACAAATCAGATCACATTGTTCATGTATGGTAATAATATGAAAATAAATGTCATCGTTATTTCACGGTAATCCATGAGTTCAAGGTGACTATGCGAGTAAAGTTATGCAGATTAGAATTTCGATTTCTTTGTATATACATCTACTTTAGTTGTAATTACTGTGTAAAGCGTGTTATTTCGGATATACTGTCCAAGTTGGTTGTATACTTGGGCCTTCCTTTCTGTTGAGTGTACTAGGATCCAGCATAATGTAAAATACGTCAGCCATCCGTCTTTCGAAAATCCTATTTAAATAATTTTGTGGCTATGAAATTTGGCATGAAAAGCAATTACCGACTTCATTTATAAATTCAATCAATTCTCCACAAATACTGAGATTAAATAAAAATTCAGTGTTACCTAGTGATTTGGTTCCTGAAGTTCTGATGAGAAGCCATAACCGTAAGTTGGATGCAAGAAAAAACAACTCTCTGTAGCGTAGGACGATTGACGCATCATAACATGGATTGAACTATGGGCTTTTGGATTCCAACCCCATGACTTGATGACGACATGCTCGTTGAGACCTGACGGTCGTAGGTGCGCACTGATGGATGAGGAATCCTAAACTAGTATGAATCGACTGTTCAGTGCTTCTACCTTTTTAATGGTTTCCATCTGATGTTGATCTGTGTATGAAACCCTTTTAAGATCAAAGTTGAGGTATCAGAAATGCATAAGTAAGGTCAGAAATGTGTATTCCTTGTCCAATCCTGTTTGAACAACGCTTCAGAAGTAATATGATTGGGTATCATTCAGTATAAGATTTTACGGGTCTCTTTATGATAGTGTTTCTTATGTATGTGCTCACTTCTTCATTGAAAATATGAGACGAAAAAAGGTCGCTGATGAAATTTTTGTCAGTACGTAGTTTTACGAAATGAGTCTGTATTTTATTTCTGTCTTTGTGTGAGGATGAGTCGATCATAACAAAACTTTCATTTTTTGATCAGAATGAAGTAGAAACTAGTTGTAATACGAATGTTCATCGTAAAAAAAGTGCATCAGACCAACCCAGACGGTACGTGTTAGTTACACCTTGTTTAGTGACGATGAGACTGGTGATGAAAACAAATACAAGAGTCATCGTTTCTACCTGTTAGTTAGCAGCTGCCAAACTCATCAAATTATTTGAATTTGTTCACATTATCTTGGGTCTTGGGAGTCAGTTTTTCTTAGTATTACCTAAAGTCTTTTCACAGAACCCTGCTTTCAGGAAAATCAACATAATGCCTCATCTCTATAAGGTATAATGTAATCACCAGTTCGCTTTTTAATTTCACATATCTATTATTGAATTCCACCTCATACGAGTAGATATGTCTTAATTTTGTCCATGAATTCGGTTAATCACATAAGTTTACACATGCTCCTGAAGACGCATGACAAATTGCAGTTTTGTTATCCATTTAAGTCTACTTCGGCACAATTAATTAGTAATTATCTATCCTATAGAATTTCAAAGAGTAGCTTTTTACAGAATTTTTTCTACAATAGGGACTTACATGTTATATGGATAAATTTATTGTAACAACTGTAGAACGACTTTGTCCTGTCAGTACAAGGTATAAAGTTGATTTTTTGTCATCGAGTTTGACCGATAGATCAGTACATGTCCATGTGGTCTTCAGTTGTTTGTAACTATTATTTAGTATTATCTAACTCATCATGATGTTATAAAAATTTCTTGTTTGAAATCGGAGATCGAATAACTTGCAGTTTCTTTTTACTGCATCTTCGATTTCAAAAACCTTTTTGGTCAGGCTGATATGCAGATTTCACTAGCTATATTAGCTTGAGTGGTTTCTAACTATTTGAATTGTTCAGTAGTATATTTCGTTGATTCAGTGACCACTTGACTGAGGACTGGTTTCCGACGGGAACCCCGTTGATGACACCATTGGGCAGTTGAAAAACTATTCAACTGTGAAAAATGTCAATGTCGACTGTGTAATTTGCAAATCATTTGCAAGTTAATCACTCCAATTAAAGGATACCGACCTATGCAAGTCAGCCTGCCAGATTCAAGTGATCTGAACAGTTTGTCCGAGAACACTGATGCTGGCTTTGACTAACGAAACTAAAGAAACAGTCGTCCGGTGTTAAGATCACTCTGACCCGGGTGGGGAAATCTAAAAATCATCCTGAGTAGTTTCCAGCGATTCACTTTGGTCAGTAGTATATATATATATATATATATATATATATATATATATATATATATATTGCACGGGGAGTCGATGGGTAAGTGACTGACAAAAAATCTGCATGGGTATAATTAGCTCGTTTTGCTTTCACTAACATTCCATCCATGGCACCACTGAAATCCGATTCTCAATCAGCCGTCGAGTGTATTGCTCTTCAGTGTGGTTTGTTCCGCTGTATAGCCGTGAAACACGGCCATTAAAGATAAGAACATGAGAAAGGCTTGGGGCGTTCGACCACGATTGCACTCGTCGCACAGACAGTGTGTCGTGATGTCCCCACGTCAATAACGTACAGATCAGGCGTAGAGCTTTATGAAGAATAGAAAAGTCAGTCGATAACGTTGTGGAACTTCGTTGACTCAGGTGGGCGGGACATGCGTTACGTGTGTCTAACCACCGTCTGTTTTGTCGAACAAAGTTGGTTGAAGTATGTTTATGGTGGAAAGTGGTTAAAGGCGACCAGACTAAGGGATGGCATCAGTGCATGAGGTGTGTGACTGTTGGTTTGAGCTATGTACGCGAATCCGGACTTCCCGGTTGGGTCTGTGCGATAACTGTGATCAGTGGTTGGTGAGGTTGGGTGGTGTGACTGAGAATCGATGTCATTAGCCCAGATGTATTCACGCCATGTCTTCATCTCGATCGTCATACTGGATTTTATCTTTGTTTTTCATTTCTATGCCTTCCAGCTGGAAGTTATGATATGAAGTGTGTCAACTTTAACCGTTATGCAGTAATACCAAATCCTATGTTAATATTGACCAACCGAACTTTCGCATACTGCATTACGAAACTCAAGTAACAATCACCTGCTAAAGTTTAGTCTTCTATATTCTAAAGTTATCGTAGTTCCAAAAACAGCATATCCATGAGTTATTTACCAAAACTCAACTTCCGCTTCCCCTAAATGACTTTGTAGGTGGTGGCGAACGCGGCATTCTCTATTTTAATCTTCCAGTTACCTTGCGATTTAATAATTTTAAAGCAAAATTACCACAGAAAAACGTTTTGTAAATGGGCAAATGAATTCATACACTGGGTTATTATGCTGGTCATAAATTGTTAGAGTTATTTCAAACTCTTGGCACTGGATGCTTTTCAGCGTTGTGACTAAATGCGATGTGGTTGTGTGCTTCAACGAATCTATTATTATTATTATTATTATTCTGTAGATGCACGTACACAACTGATTTGGGTATTTTTTCACAGGCTTGCGTCAAAGAAGTGACTGTTTCAATTCCATCTGCCTTGACAACAAAGTTTGCAGGTGATCAAGCGCCCAGCCTTCGATCGATTTGTGAACAATGTGAAGGTGTTCATATGCGATTTGCTAACAAAAATGCCAAAACCCAGTCGAATCGAATGGCTACGAATAAATTGAGTCATATGGATGTTATAGTCCTTGGACCTGAGAAAGAAGTTGATCAAGCATGTGCTCTCTTAGCTGAACTCAACGCTAAAGTGTCCCAGTTATGTGCTGAAGTAAGTATTCAGAGGCAAAATTTTCATTTACTCTAAATCTGTTTCATCATTTATGGAATCTAGATACACATAGTCTTTGTAAAGATAAAATGGGACAGTTTGGTTGGCCTTAGTCACGGGATGGGTTTTGAGCTTTATTGTCATAGTGATCTGCAAGGTAACTAATACCTTTTTTATAATTTAATTATTACGGGTGAAAATTTGTTACAGTAGCGCCAAGGTAACAACTTGCAGCTTCATTGGTTTACAAATGCTATTCAAAAGGGTGACAACTCACTTCAGTCCAGTCGAAACGAGAAAACAACTATCGAAATATTATTTGAAAAAAAGGTCACCCAAACAATCTCGTCAAATAGTGCCTATGATAGCGTCACATAAATTTGCCTTTTAAGGTATATGATTGTGACGTCCTAAATCTCATGAAAAGACTAGTCTATCAAATAGCTAGTAGGCAACTAAGACCAGAAAAGAATCACCTAAATATGCAAACCCGCGAGTGTTTTCTTTGTGCTGTCGCAATAAAGCCAATGCCAAAATCGTACAACTTAAACACGTACTCTGTTAAACCTACTGATACTGTGACTATGCCAGAATGAACGTCCTGGAGACCAAAATGATAAGTGTACAATATATATCAAAGAACACCGAAAACTCATCAAAGTCAAGGTAACTACAATAACAATAACGATGAAAAACGGACATAGAACTTAACTACATATGCCTACGGATCATTTTAGTTGGCTGGGCTGTGTGTCGTGGTTAGTTTATTGGACAATGTGCAAGCACGTTGATGTTCGTTGTCGACTGACATGTGTACGTCCGTGTATTTGCCATGGGTATTTTTGAGTTCAGGAAGTGTCGATGGTGACGTCCTGCCTACCCATTGTCGTAAATAGATGATTTTTGGGGACTGGAGTATGTCACTCTGGTGTTACCCGTTCGTGCACATTCCATGTTCACCGTTAGTTATAGATGACTGTGATCGTGTTGACAAACCGTGTGCGAAACATGATTTTGTTTTTTGTGAGTGATAGTTGTTGTATAGTAATGTGATGTGATGTGATGAGGTGAGATGAGATGAGGTTGAGGTGGTGTGATGTTGTGTTGTGTTGTGTTGTGTGGGGTTGTGTTGTATTGTTTTTGTTGTTGTTGGTTTTATGTGTGAATGATATGTTGAGATAGTGAGGTTGTGTTGATGATGGTGTATGGTGTGAGAAGTTGAGGTTGAATGTTGTTGAGGTGTGTGTGTGTGTGTGTGTGTTTGTATTTGTGAGTGGTGTATTTGAGTTTGTATTGTGTTGTGTAGTGTATATGGGTTGATGTGTATGTGTGTATTATATTAGAATGATGTGGGTGTGTGGGGTGTTTATTTTATTGGACAATGTGCAAGCACGTTGATGTTCGTTGTCGACTGACATGTGTACGTCCGTGTATTTGCCATGGGTATTTTTGAGTTCAGGAAGTGTCGATGGTGACGTCCTGC